TTTGCAGTTCCCTGAACATTTTTATATGCTTTTTTTCTATCTGTAGATCTTGTTTCTCCCTCTCCCTCCCTCCCTCCCCCTCTCTCTCGCTCTCCCTCTCTCTCTCATATGCTTTTTTCTATCTGTGGATCTTGTTTCTCCCCCTCCCCCCCCTCTCCTCTCTCTCCATGCCTGGGTTTGAACTCCAGGTCTCATGCTCTCATAGGTGTTTTCACTCACAGGTGCCTCTATCATTTGAGCCATACTTTCAGTCTGACATTTTGTTGGTAATTAGAGATGGAATTTCACAGGCTTTTCTACCCCGTTCCCCCAATTTGAAACCACAACCCTCAGATGTCAGCCTCCAGAGTAACTAGGATTACAAGCACAAGCCACTATTTGTATATCTTAAGAAGTGTTCAGTCCTTTCATCCATTTCTTAATCAAATTTGTCACTTTTTGTTGCTGAGTTTTTAGAGTTTATTTTCATGTTTTGGTATAAAAATACTTTATCAATTTTTTTGGAAAATATTCTTCCAAACTATGGCTTGTATTTTCATTCTTTGAGTATATAGAATTCCACATGTCCAGGGTATTTTCTCTTTCAAAATATTAATTTCTTACTGGCAAGCTCATAGTTTTATTTTTTAATTTTTTTATTGTAAAGATGTTCTAGAGAGGGGTTACAGTTACATGAGTAAGTCACTGAATACATTTCTTTTCAAAGCTCATAGTTTTCTCAGCTCTACTCAGTCTACTAAAGAGTCTATTCAAAGCATTCATAATTTTTGTTACATTTTCGAAGTACTAGAATTTGAACTCAATGGCTCTCATTTGCTAAGCAGATGCTATGCCTCCAGCCCTGTTACAAAATGTCTCTCTGCTTACATTACCCTATTGGGTAATGTACAATGCATCATCTACTTTTTCCTTTGGAAGTCCTTACTGCAGTCATAATTTTAAAAAATTCTTCCAATATCCTTGTAATATGTGGCTTTATTTCTGATGTTTCTCTGTATTCACGCTGTGTTTCCTGCCTTTTAGTTGTTTCTTGTTAAATATTGGACCTCATCTACTGGGTAAAAGAAAAATTGGCACATAGGTCTTTAATAATGTGGCCCTAAAGTGTTGGAAGAGGAAAAATCAGTGCTCCTGTGATGAGATTTTTTAATACTTTTTTATTGTAAAGATAGTATACAGAGGGGTTACAGTTACATGAGTAAGGTAATGAGTACATTTCCTATCGAGCATTGTTACCTCCTCCTTTGTCTTTCCCCTACCATCCCTTCCCTGTGATGAAATATTTGGCTTTCAGTAAGCTCATTCTCCTAAACTGTGAGCTGTGTTAGTAATTTTAGTCAGTCTGTCGTTGTTGAGATTTTCACCCCCTTAGTAGAAGAGGCTGGTTTGCAGAACCATAGTTGAATATTTTCTTTCTACCAGGTTGTTTCAACTCTGACCAAACTTTGGTGTGTTGGGCTCTAGTAAATATAGTTTGTTCTCTTGAGGGCAGGTCTTTTTTAAGAACAAATGATGCTGACACATTTCAAAACAATTGTTTTTCCTCTTCCCCATAAGACCCTGATATTTTTCTCTGTGATCTTTCTTGTTAGAACCGTAGATCTCCAGGAGGAAATTTCAGTAAGTATGGAGTGTTTCCTCCGTATTTATCCCTAGATTTCCCCACAGACTCCCGGCAACTTGTCGATTTCAATACGTGTTCCCATGAAAGTGAGCTTTCCCCCCTTGTAAGTGGTGATTTTCTGTATCTGCCTGCCTGTCTCTCTACTCCGGAGAACAACCATTTTCCCTATGACCCCTCTACTATCCAGGGATTTAAGAAAAGTCATTGAGGATGGAGCTAGTGGCTTTTAAGCTTCTTATATGGCAGGTCAGATACTGGACTTCCAGTATCTGGAGCCTGGGGCTCACCTAAAGTTCTGGCCCCATTGGCATGGGATGAATACAAATGATCCTGACATGCAGCCTGGGTGGAGAACTACCAATGTACATCACAGACATGCCATTGTTGGAGAAAAGTGGGCACTGAAAATGAACACAGAGGACTTTGCCCTTTGTGGCTCTAGTCAGCCTTTTCCAGATAGATTATTAAAACAAATTGTAGATAAGGACAGGAGCTGTGACCTGATTTGCCCTGCAGGGTTTCTCTGGTGTTCAGATACCAAGGATGGGGAAATACTGTTCTGTTGACTCAGGCATTGCCCTCCACCTTCTGGAGAACTGAGTGGCTGAGGATTTAACACCTTGGAATCCTAAGCCTTCTGCCTTGTGTGAGTGACTCCCCTTGGGTCTCTGTTGAAACAGCTAAATAAATTCCACCTGATTATCTTATTGTACAAAATACATATAATAAAAAATCCACCTATCTAATATTCCCGGAGAAGAGAGAATTTTCAAGAAATGGAAAGTGAAATTACCTGGGTTTACATTTATCTTTGTTTAGAAGTCATCCTTTTGTGGTTAACAAACCCATTCAAGATTCTTTTTTTTTTGGGGGGGGTCCGGTCGTGGGGCCTGAACTCTGGGCCTGGGAGCTGTCCCTCAGCTCTTCAGCTCAAGGCGAGCGCTCTACCACTTGAGCTACAGCGCCACTTCCAAACATGTTTACTGGCTTATTATAAGTCATCTTACAGAATTTTTTTTTTGTCAGTCGTGGGGCTTGAACTCTGGGCCTGGGAGCTGTCCCTCAGCTCTTCAGCTCAAGGCTAGCACTCTACCACTTGAGCCACCTTCCCAGCCCCATACAAGCATGGTTAGTTTTTTTTGTGTGTGTTTGGTTTTTTTTTTTTGTCGGTCATGGGACTTGAACTCTGGGCCTGGGCGCTGTCTCTCAGCTCTTCAGCTCAAGGCTAGCGCTCTACCACTTGAGCCACAGTGCCACTTCTGGCTTTTTTCTTTTTGCTTATGTGGTGCTGAGGAATCGAACCCAGGGCCTCAGGCATGCAAGGCAAGCACTCTACCACTGAGCCACCTTCCCAGCCCCCCATTCAAGATTCTTGTATCAAATTTAACAGGTCAATCTTAGTGACTAATGTAATATTGTTATGGTTTTAAATGCTTCAAAGAAGCAAATGTTATTTACATCTAATCCCATTTATAGTTTTCAGCAGCCTCAAAAAGAAATCCAATGACCTGTTTCCTTCCCCACTTCCTTTTCTGTGCTGGCAGCTACCATCTCTTGTTCTTAGTTTAAATGTACAGATCAAAAGATAACTGGTTTGCTGTGCTTTTTCTGAGGCTTGAACTCAGGGTTTAGGCCCTGTCGCCAAGCTTCTTTTGCTCAAGACTAGTGCTCTGCCACTTGATCCACAGCACCACTTCTAGCTTTTTGGTAATTTATTAGAGATAAGAGTCTCACAGACTTTCCTGCTCAGCTGGCTTGGAACCACAATCCTCAGATCTTAGCCTCCTGAGTAGCTATGATTACAGGCATGAGCTACTAGTGCCCCACTCAAAAGACAAGTTTTAATATATGCAAATGAGACAGGCATAGGTAATTCTAGCTACACAGGAGGCTGAGACCTGAGGATCAAGGTTCAATCTTAAGCAGAAAAGTCCTTGAGACTGAATTAGTTATCAAAATGCTAAACTAGGAGCATGGCTCAAGTAATAGAGCACCAACCAGGAGAAAGAAAGCCAGATGGGAGGAGGCTGTCATAAAGTATGCAAATGAAAAACACAGATGATGAAGATTGTACTATCCTTTTCTTTTTCCTTTAATATTTCTGTTTCTGCTGGTAAGAGAAAAACAGTCATAAACACTCCAGGTGGTAGGCTTAGTAAATTTGAACTGCTATAAGAAAATGCTATAGTCTGGGTGGCCAAAAGAGTAGTCATTTATGTCTCAGTTTTGGAGACTAGAAGTCCAAGATCAAAGATGACCATTTGGCTCCTTGTTTTTCTTTGGTTTTCTCATTTGATTTCAGGATTCTCTTCTTGACTTAAAAGGCAACTTTCTTCTCTGATAATGTACTCACCTAGCAGGGAAAGGGGAGATCTCTCTCTCTCTCCCTCTTTCTCTCTCACTCTCTCTCTCTCTTTCTCTCTCACTCTCTCTCTCCCTCTTTCTCTCTGTCTCTCTCTGAATGAGAAATATTTTATGACTATCAGTAGAAAACTTCAGAGAATGTGAGCAGAAGGTAAGTGACAGTTCCTCCTTTCTCTCTCTATAAGGACACATGAGGCCTACAGTGTTCCAGAATTATAGGAAGGCTGAAGCTAGGCTTCTTTTAACATTTTGAACTACAAAGATGTCCTTTCTTAAAACTTATGCTAGAAATGCTTATTTAATGTTTTCTGTTTTTCTATCATAGGTACCACCAGTGTCCAAAGTAGAAATGTCACTCAAAGATAGTCAGACTTGATATGACTCAAAGTTTTATTGAGTATGCTTCTCACATGGACATTTGATTGACAAATGCAGGTATTCACTGCAAATCAGACTACCGAAGTTTAATTTTAAAACCTTAAAAAATATTACTCCTTATAAAACCATTTTTATTAAAAACATTTCATTTCTTCCAGTACATTTTAATTCCATCCATTGACACCCATTTGTCCATCCCTGGGACACCTCTTTTCAGAAAGAAACTGATACTATTTTATTCCCATTCCAAAACTCTATCTTAACTATCACAATGATAAATCTTATAACATCAGACTTAGCACCAGAAAATCTGTTCAGATGAAGACAGGGATACTTTCTCACAATATGTATTACAATAAATCAAAATATTTCTAACCTTAGTTCCCTCAACACCAGAATGTGTCAGAATAGTGCTGACTTTATAAAGGTAAACATATATCGATCAGCTGGCCACCAGTGTCTCACCCCTGTAAACAGGCTCCTTTTCAGGAGGCTGAGATTTGAGGATCACAATTCAAAGTCAGTCCAGGCAGGAAAGTCCATGAGACTCTTATCTCCAATTAACCATCATAAGCCAGAAGTGGAGCCATGGCTCAAGTGATAGAGCACAGCCTTAAGCAAAAAAGCTCAGGGACAGTGTGCAGGGCCTGAGTTCAAGCCCCAGTCTGGAACAAAAATAGATAGAGAAATAGAGAGATAGAGAGAGAGAGAGAGTAATTATTTTACTGAGCAGTGAAGAGATAAGTTCAAAAACTAGTCTTTAGCCCTAAGAAGCTTCCATTTCAGTGGAGAAACCAAAACCATGAGGTGGAGATAAGCATGCTCTGATGTGGCTGTGGGTACTACATCAGTAACCTACAGACAGCACTGAGAATGCTGTGAAGATGGACATCTTTTAGTGACGGACATCGGATGGCAAAGCCTCATTACAAACCCAGTAGAAAAAATGCGCCTGGTCACTGCTCGAGACACCATGGTCTGGAGTCCTGAGCTCATAAGACAAGTTTTCTTAACCTTAGCACCACTGAACAATTTGGTGTTGTAGCATTGTCTTGTTTACCTCATTGCATACTACTTACATCATTGTTTGCATCATTCTTTCTCAGTGCCAGAAGGGCCATTCCCTCCAGCCCCCATCTGTGACACCAAAATTGTTTTCAGATGCCCCCAGTTGAGAATTACTGTCTTGAGAGCATAGAAAACCAGTGTAGGAATAAAAGTCATGGAAAGTAAAGGAATAAAAGTCATGCAAGTAATGCCTAGACTTCTACTGATACTCAACAAATGTTGAGTTAATAAATGAATGAGCTTCCTGGAACCCTCTGCCATGTTCTTTTGGTTCCAATCAGAAAGATCTTGAACTTTGAATTAAATTTTAAAAATGTCCAACTAGAAGATAACAATAACCACATCCATTTATATAGCATTCAATAGTAATTATCTGGTCTGGGGCAAAAAAAAATGTCATACTCTCTGAGCCTCTGTTTCTTTGATGGGGATAATCAATTCTGTTTTGCAAGGCTATTGGAAAAATTGCTTGAGATAATTGTTGTAAAACATGCCATCTTTGAGGTGTTGGCACTCACTCCTTTCATGCGTTGACAAAAGGAATCATCGATTTCCCTTCTAGTTCCAGTCAGGAAGCTAACTGGTCCACTAAAATGGACTAGTGTCATTGCTTGCTTTTGTTATAAATGTATATTGAACACAGTGTGCCAGAAAGACACATCAGCTATCTGGCTGATCCTTCATAAACTAACAGCTTGGTTGGGCCCAGAGAGTTGCAACTTATCAAGAACTACACAGCTAATCATTATCTCCCTGAGCATGAGAGACTGTCAGCACTCAGGGCTCACCCACCCTGACACCTCTTACACACTGAGGCTGGGCTGGCTTGTTGGTTTGGGGAAAATGCTTTCTATATTCTGTGTTCTTTAGTTTGTTATAGACATAGATCACTAGATCTGGAAATTTCTTCTGAAAATAGCAGAATGGATCTCCAATTGTCTCCTTTATCCTGAAAGAAACACAAATGGTTTGTCATACTTGTCCCAAGCTCTTTTCCCCTGCTTCCTGCCTCATACCATATGGCCCAGAAGTACCCTCTGCTGTCTACTGTGAATTGTTTCCTCCTCCTCCTCCTACTTGGTAATGGGGCTTGATCTCTGGGCCTGGGCGCTGTCCTTCAGCTTTTCAGTTCAAGGTTAGCGCTCTACCACTTGAGTCATAGCACCACTTCCCGCTTTTACTGCTTATGTGGTGCTGAGGAATCGAACCCAGGGCCTCATGCATGTAAGGCAAGCATTCTACCACTGAGCCACCTTCCCAGCTCCTTCTTCTTCTTCTTGAGAGTACATGGGTTTGAATTTAGGGCTTCACACTTGCCAAGCAGATACTCTACCACATGAGCCATACCCTCATCCTAAAGCAGGTTTAATAAGAAGTTTGGAATCTGGCAACACTCATCACTAATTGTGCAATCTTTGGCCACTCAATCCTTCTGAAATTTATTTTTCATTCATAAAATTGTAAACAATACAATTTACAAGCCCCTTGGGTACGTTCCTCAAATTCCCCTCTCCTCCCCACAAAATCCCTGCATTACAAGGTTTCTTATGTCTGTGTGAGTTTGCAGGATTTGGCTGCAAAAGCTGATTTAACTAGCATGCTACTGTGACTTTCGTAGCTCTATGCTCTCTTTACCCTTTATGTGTTATTCACATAAAAAGTCACTACTTCTGTTCAGTAGGTCCCAGCCAAAACTCTAAAAGAAGGTGAGAGCTTCTGACATGTCCATGATTAATTTTGAAGACCACAGAAAAGAAGAATATTTTAGGTTTTTATCAAAATTAATTTTCTTTTTTCCACACAGATAGGAATTTAGAGTTGGATTGTTTTTCTGGTACCAGAACTTGAACGCAAGCCTCACACTTGTGCAGTTTGCTTACTCTACCGCTTGAGTCATACCTCAAGGCTGGCTTTAGACTGATTGTTTTGGAGATGAAATCTCTTCCTGGGCTGGCTTTGAACACTCAGTCCTCTGGGGCTCAACTTCCTTAATACCTAAGACTACAAATGTAAGCCTCTGGAACGTGGCAAGAATTGGATTTTTAAATGTTCTCATTCTACACTGGATTTGTAAGAAAGAAAACAATACTCACTTTCTATTTTGTTCCTCATCGATGTGTTCTCCCAAATTCCGGATGCACTTTAACAGATCACCCACAATGTCCTGATAGACGTTGCCATTTTTTTTAGCATAGAACTTATTCATTTTTTCCATAACATGCTTATCAATCTAAAAAACAGAACATTACACAAAACATGGCAGCAGTACAACATAAATTTTGATGGTGCTATACCATAAGGCAAAATAGAAATTTGAATATGTATTACCCCTTACTAATTAATATAACAAAATAATAGAAAATAATTAAAGTAAATGATATACACCATGATATACACATCTTTGTCTAAGTGCATAGTCTCCATACAAGATTAAATATATTAAACCGTTTGTTTGTTTTTTAATCATTGTCAGCTAGATACCAGTAGCTGATGCCTATAATCCTACATATTCAGAAAGCTGAGATCATGATTCAAAGCCAGCCTAGGCAGGAAAGTCCAGGAGACTCTTATCTTCAGTTAACTAGCAAATAAAGCAGGAAGTGGAACTGAGGTTCAAGTGGTAGAATGTTACCCTTGAGCAAAAAAAAAAAATCTCAGAGACAGTGCTCAGATCCTGAGTTCAAGCCAGCCCCAGTGTACACACACACACACACACACACACAATCTGCTACATTAGGAAACTGGTTCATTATAGTATACATCATTTTTATCCCTGTGACCCCCTTTGTAAATGCACAATTATATTTCCTCTGACAAAAAGCTTGTCATAGTGAGTAGCATGAGTGAGTAGAGTTGGTGTTTGTTTGTTTAGTCTATTTCTAAAAGGCTGCTCGTTTCCTCTTTCTTCTGATACCCCAGGACAACCTCATCACTCTTTCCCATTTGTAGGGAAAGTTTTGGATCAGAGGACCAGATACAATAACCTTGAAACCAGAGCCATTTGGGAAGGTATCTGACTGGAGACTGGGCTCACCGTAGTGTGGGCCCCGCATGAGACTGCCTGGGTGCGCTCTGAGAATGGCATGCAAGAGGAGCCAAGCAGTGTGGGCAGCCGGATGATAGGGCAGAACCAAAAGCAAACGTAGGAGTGACTTCTACAAAACTTAGGTTCAAGACCTGCTCAAAACAACTATGCAACCTCAAAAATGGGCAAGTCACTGACATCAACAGAAAAGCAAAGCCTAAAGGGTAAGACTGGAACTCAGTCAAAATGTAACATAGCTCAGTGATACTTAAAGGAAAGAATCCATGAACTGGGTTTGAATGGGGTTCTGTTGTCAGCCTAGCCAATCTCCGGCTGTCCTATCCTGGATTCTTCAAGTATTATTGCTCAATCTCTGTTTCCTGTGGGATTACATGAGTTGGTAGAGTGGATGGCATCAGAACGTTGTGGAGTGGCTAGCTTCAGCACATGACTATACTTCCCAGCACCCAGGCCTGCCACATCCCTCACGGGCTATGTGCCTCTGGGAAAATTGTCAGTGACTCAGCTTACCCATCTGCAAAATAGAGATAATTGCCACAGAAGCTGTTGTAAGGACTAAATGTGATCGAATACACAGTCCTAAGAGCTCTATCTGCCACAGAGTAGTCTAGCTCTCCCTGTTAACTGTCGCTGTCATCTGCTCTAGTTTATATTTATCTGTTTCTATAAGCTTAAAGTCTAACCCAGAGTTTTATACACAATCATTGAGCAAAGAGTCATGGCACACTTACACCATGCCAGGGATACAGTCAGCAGCAAGACAGCTGAGGGGCTCCTCCCTCATAGAAGGTGGAGCTAGCAAAGAAAAGGGGTATTGAACGAACAATTATATATATATATATATATATGTTATATATATATATATATATATATATATATATGTTGTGTAGTGTTGAGAAAGGAAAAGGAAAGAAAACACATAATAAGAACCAGAAGCCAAGCAGCAAAGATAGGAAAGGTATTGATTTCAAAGGACTAAAGCTTGTGGATTCTCTCCTCGGGCTTTGAATTTCTGTAGATCTTTCTGTGCCACATGTTCCTGTGTATCCTAATTTATGTGCCCGGGCCTTCACATCGCTCTAATATGTAATCAGTACTTGATAGATGTCTGCTAATTAATAATAATTAGAGTTGTGATAGTGAAGACTAAATTAAGGTGATGATTGACTCCATAGAGTTCTACTATTTAGTTCAAGTTAAGTGGACTTTTCTTGAAGGGGGAAATTTGAAATCACCTCTTCTTTGTGTGTGTGCTATCCAACAGAATGTACTTCTTACGTGTGGCTCCTCAGAGCTGAGCTGCTGGTGGGCAGCAGAGGCAACCAGACTGTCTCTGGACTGAGCCCTCACAAAGGATCACAGTCCTTTATGATCACAGGAGTCTTGGCCAGGTTTGACGGAAAGGTTTATGGGCTAGATAAAGGCCAGCGTAAGGTGAAGCCTGAGAAAGAGTCTATCAGGGGTGCTGAGTTCTGGATACCTCACCCCTCCCCCCCAAAAAAGATAACAAGGAGAGAAGAAGGAAAATCATCTCACTCATTTCTTGCTTAAAGAACAGGAAAATGGTACAAAATAATATTGGTACAAAATGGTACAAAAGAAATTGAAAATAGTAACATTATGACAGACCCTTCTCCTGGAAGAACTCCCAGACCACAGGAATTGTTCATACCTTAGATGTCCACTTGTCAAAGCTGTAAGATACAGATGGATCAGAATGCAGTAGCCTGTAGATCTCACTTGTACATTTTCGAGTTTTGATATCGGATATGTTTCCCACATTCCGAAGTGTCCTGTACCGACTGCAGATGACAAAATTAGGGTCATTCCTTTCTTCCTACACTTTTTTTTGTAAAGATACTGTACATAGGGGTTAGAGTTACATGAGTAACATAATGAGTACATTTCCTATCAAGCATTGTTACCCCCTCCTTTGTTTGTCTCCTACCATCCCTTCCCTCCCCACCTTCCCAACTCTTCCCTCCCACTTCCCAAAGTTGTAAAGTTCGTTTTCAACACAGTGTCTTGTACATCTCATTATTACAATGGGTCAACCTGTATCCTTGTTTCAGCATTTTGTTATTTCCCTTCCCCTCCCCAAATTAGAAAAATGTATATACAAGATGCAAGGCACCAGAATCAAATACAGTGACAACAGGGGTTATATCATGTGGGTTTTCCACTCTTTCAGAAATAAGAAACAGATATATTTTGATTTTTATTGTATTTTATTTTTGCACCAACACTGGAGCTTGAACTCAGGACCTTGCCCTTGCACTTGGGTTTTACTGGTAAGGCTAGTGCTCTACCACTTGAGCCACAGCTCCACTTCTGGCTTTTTGCTGGTTAACTGAGAATAAAACTTTCCTGGCTGGGCTGGCTTCGAATCATAATCTTCAGATATTAGCCTCCTTAGTACCCAGAATGACAGGAATGAGCCACCAACACCCTTCTATATTTTGCTTTTGTTTTTTGTTTTTTGAGAAGTAAGACTCTTCAAAAATTCTTCATGATGAGAGTGGCAGCCATCTTTTCCTTCAGTTCAGAAGAGGAAACAATCCAGGAGGTTGAATCACATAGCCAGTATACACTGAGCTGACAGAAAAGCCTAGATCTGTTCATCCCCAGCCCTGAACCCTCCTGCATAATTGCACCTTCTCCACTGTGGAGAACTGTGACACACACTCAAGTCTTACTTACTTCTCCCATGTCCAGAAGAAGGGATGACCTAGCAGGTCACCAACACAGTCTGTCATGTTTTCCCCAGGATAGAAGAGGTGGCGAATGAGATCCTCAGTCTCCTTATCTGGAGAAAGTTGAACCACTTCTTCATTATTTTTACCCTTCAGTGTCTCAAAAGGAATCTCTCCTTTCTTTACCACATAGAGGACCAGCCGTCCAAGGGCCTACACAAAAGCCACAAAGGTGCTTATGACATACCTTTCTATTTGGGTAACCTTGAAAGTACAACCATTCATTTGGTTTGATTCAATTGAGAAATGTTGAAGAAGTTAGTAAAGCCACACCTCTGGGTATATCTGTGAAGGTTGTTTCTAGAGACCATTCGATCATGAGCATTCTAAACTAATGAATGGTTTAATCCATTGAAAGCCTGAAATTTAAACAGACTCCAGGAGGTGGTGGGGTTGTGAAAGGCAGAGTGTGGTTGGAGGAAATAAGTCACTGGAAACACATCCTTAGAGACACAGCGCCTTCCTACTCTAGCTCTGCTTTACTTCCTGTCTGCCATGACGCAATCTGCTCAGCCACACCCTCCCTGCCATGATGATCTGAAACTGTGATCAAAATGTTTCCCCCAATCAATGATTCTCTTGGTGCTTTTTTTTTTTTAAATCACAGCTATATAAAAGTAATGAACAGAGAAGTTGTGATGCTGGTTTTGTACAAGTGAAAGATGGGGAAAAATCTCATGTAGTCTGCCAGCATGTTAAGGAGAGAAGACACAGATCTGTACACAGAGGCCCCTTCAATGCAGTACGTGGTTTGGGCTTATATAGAACAACAGATAATCCTGGGCCAGAGTTGTCAGTAGAAGAAAAAAAAAGAACAAAAAACTTCTTGTTACCAAAGAGATTTGAGTTGGACCCTGAGAGAGTATATATAAATCAGAGGAGAGTGTTTACAGAGGAGAGTGTCTTGGTACTATCTGGGGAACTGGGGCTTTGGGTCTAGGGTTACATGAGGCTGCAGATAATAGCACTTGTGCATGTTGGATGAGATATAAAGGCTGGCCTTCGCAGGGAGGAAAGATAAAGGATTGGCATAGGAGTCATCAATACTAAATATCTATAAGAGAGGTGTGGAAATATGGAGCCACCCAACCAAGAAGCCAGCATGGTAGGTGCAAAGCCCCTACCTATTTGTTACTGTCTAGAACAGAACTACCCAATAGAGGGTAGTTGAGGGTTCAGTCTGTATGCCCAGACCCCTTGTCCTCTTAACAGCTATTTCAGGATCTTCACTTATTTTGGCCAAGGTTTATCTCTTCCAAGTCCAGGACTAATTCTAATCTCACCCATTGCAGAAAAGCTCTAGCCTTCCTCAGAGCTCAGCACATGAGAGAGCTGAATAGAGTGGGAGAAGAAATCCCATTTACTTTACTCTCAGGCAAAAAGAATACCTCTCAGAGGAATATAGGAGATATTTGGAAATATTTCCTGGAAGAGATAATACAGGCTCAATTTAGTTACTTCTTTAGCTAATGAAAGGAGAAAGAGAGAGGAGAATCAGAAAGGAGTCATAGCAAAAGGCAACTGCATATTGATCCTGCCTTTACCTCTTCTCAGCAGCTTGCAAACTCAGCTACAAAAGAAACCCAGGGAAACATTTCAGTCTATAGCAAGAGAGGACAGTGGAAAAGACCGGAAACCTAGAAAGATCTTTCTCCCCTTCCTCTTTAAAATAAAGACATTCTTTAGTTTTCCCTAGAAACTAAAGTAACGAACAAATAAGGAAACAGAAGAAAAAGAAATCTAGATTGCAAAAATTACCTCTAGATCTCTCCTGATTTCCTGTGGATCTCCAGTCCCCTTAATGCTCTGATCAAAATCTGCCAGGCGAACTGCATCCTTGGAATCTAAGGAATAATTTACAGAGGTACACGAAAATGCACATTATCCATGATGTGACAGTCAACTCATTTAGATATGCTATACAATTCATCGTCTCTCTACAAGGTGAGTAATACTATTTTCTCCTCAAAAACTGCTGTGTTCATTATTTTATTTGATCTCCTAGGTATCTGCCAAGAGAAGGACATGCATTTCATATTTTTCCAGGCCAGAAAATCGAAAAGGATAAAGAAAATAGATGAACAAGTTCCTCATTCATTCAGTTTCTAGGGCCAAGTACCCAGATTTATAAGGAGCTGTTGGTAGCAGTTAAGATCACCTCTGATGGAAGGGTATGACATTGTCCAAAAAGAAATGTACACATTACCTGAATTGTGAAATGGTAACCCCTCTGTATAACACCTTAATGATAACAATAACATCGTATTTGTTTGAAAGTTAATCAGGCCTCTGGAACGGATCTGTGCAGTCTTGAGAGAGTGGGTTTGTGATAAAGCACCTTTGAGACTATCTGGTCCTTCCTTCTTTCACAGCAAGGAGACCTTTGCTAATGCTAGGCTGCTCTTGGACTTCCTAGCCTCTGTTCTCAATCATCTACCCCGTCGGTGGTCTTCTGTCACAGTAGCATAAAGAAGACCAAGGGGAGGACTCACCTATTAAGAAGTTTCGTGGCTGCAGATCCTGGTGAGTGTATCCATGAGACACGTGTAAATCTCGCACAGCCTCAAAGATCGACAGTAGGGTATTGGGGGCAAGGGCGTCTTCCCGACTCTGCAGGCCTTCCTCTGGGCGCCCCTGCAGGCGCTCTTCCAGGGTCTGTTCACAGAGGGCCATGCACACGTACACGCACCCCCTGTGGCTCTCGCTTCCGTAGAGCGTCACGAAGTGACTGCTCTCGCGGCAGCTTCGCAAGCAGGCCATTTCCTGGCGCGCCTCTGGGCTGCCTTCGGGGAACAGCTTCACAGCCGCCTCTCGGCCCTCGTAGAACCCCAGGTAGATGCCCCCTTTCGACGTGTCCGCGATTTTATACTCCTCCACCATGAAGATCTTCAGCTTGCCGATGGGTTGGCGGTATATCCGGTGGAGGCTCTTCAGGGCTCTTCCCCAGTGTGAGCTCTGCGGCTCCCAGTCCTCCGCAGGAGGGTGGACATGTTCTTGGGCCCCGTACTCGCGGAGAAGCTTGACGAGGGCCTGGTCGTAATGCCGCCTGGCGATCCTCATCAGATCCCCGCAGCTCACGCTGGCCCCGCGATCGCACAAGGCGCGCACCATCTCCCGGCTTCCCAGCTCCACGGCCGCGCGCAGGGCGGTGGTGCCCTCGTGGTCCGTGTCATCGATCTCCAAGGCGTCCTGTTCCAGAAGCATCCGCACCAACGCCAGGCGTCGCTTCTCCACCGCCAGGATCAGCGGCGTCTTCCCTTGCTCGCCTCTCACCCGGACGTCAGCCCCGTGGTCCAGCAGGAGCCCGGCCACGGCTTCCGCCTGCTCGCCGCCGTCCAGGAGAGCGTGGATCAGGGCGCTTCTGCCCATGTTGTCCCGGGCGTTGACGTCGGCCCCCATCTCCTCCAGGAGGATCCTCACCACCTCCACGTGGCCCCTTTCCGCCGCGTCCATGAGCGCCGTGGCCCCGCCGCCCCTCAGGGGCCTGCGGTCCTCCTGGGTCTCTCGGCTCGCATTCACGTCCGCTCCCTGCGCGAAGAGGAACCGCAGCGCTTCCACCCGGCCGTGCCAGGCGGCCTCCATGAAGGCCGTGAAGCCATTCGAGTCACGCTCGTTGACATCCGCGCCCCTAGACAGGAACAGCCGGAGGAGATGCACATGGCCGCCGATGCCCGCCACGATGAAGGGCGTGGCCCCGTTCCTCTTCCTGCGCGCAGGCTCGGCGCCATAACGCAGCAGAAGCTCCACCAGGTCCTGCCGGCCGCACTCCGCCGCGTTGTGCAGCGGGGTCCAGCCCCACTCGTCGCTCTCGTTGGCGTCGGCTCCTCCCTCCAGCAGCCGCCGCAGCCCATCCACGTCCTCCTCTCGCACAGCCTGGATCACCCAAAGCCGGGGTTCTGCCATGGAATCGCTGCGGCTGGAAGGCTTGGAGGCCTCTTGCTGAGCACCCTGCGTCTCCATGATGGTCAGCGCCGGTGGTGACAACCTTCTGCTTCTTTTTTGTTTCCCCCTCGAGAAAGTGAAAACGTTTATGCTTTGGGGCTGGATCACAGTCAAGGGGACGTGGCCTCTGGGGGCCCAGTGGGGTTCTCTGTCTGAGGAAGAGCCATGGGCTCGGTTTGATGGGAGTCCACTTGGAAATCGTGGCATTGGGGGGTGGGGGAGAGGGGCATAGCGGAATCTCACAAGTCATTTTTGGCTAGCTACCTTTTCTATTTATTATGGTATTTATAAATTACAGAATATTTATGAACGTATGACTCTAGAATCCTACTACCAGAAACGGCCACTAGTAATATTCAGTACATATCTATAGATTTCTTAAGAGTTGGGATCTCGTTGGGATTGTGCTCTATACCAGGATAAAGGAACCTTTTATTCTGATACCTTCAAGCTAATTCTGTACTATAATTCCCTAAGTTATTGCAAATCATTTTCAAACTTTTTGGGGGGAGGGGCAGCTTTAGGGCTTGAATTCGGGGCCTGGGCACTGTCGCTGAGCTTTAGTGCTCTACCACTTGAGCCACAACACCACTTCCAGCTTTTTGGTGGTTGAGTCACATGGACTTTCCTGTGCAGGCTGGCTTCAAACTGTCATCCTCAGCTCTCAGCCTCCCAAGTAGCTAGAGTTGCAGGCATGAGCCACCAGCAAACCAGTTTTCAAACATTTTAATGGTGTTTCAATCTGCCATCCTATGCTTGTTTCATTTCCCTATCACAGACTGACTTCCCCAAATATTTGGACAGTATTTTTCTTGTTCTGTTTTTTTTCTTTTACTTACTTATGATCTATCTATTTATTTATTTATTTTACCTCAGACCGGTAATGTGCTTACATCCTAAGAAGGTTTGAGAGAGGTACACATCACACAAGCACCTGAGAACTCAATCATCACACTGTGAACCGGAAAGGATCTTGTTATTACCTTTAGTTGTACAAAGGCATTTCATTGTAATTCCACATGTCAGTGCATCTTGATCGGTGGCATCTCTTCCATGATTCTCTCATCCATCTATCCCATAACCACCTATCTCTCAACTTTCCTAGCTCTGTTTTTACTTAGGTACATTCAGTATTATGACTGTATTTACCCACCATCCCTCTGTTCACTTATCCTCCTCCTTTTCTTTAATCCCCACCCCCCTCAGAGAAGAAGTTTCAAATCTCTAGTACTCATTTTGTTAAACTGTTTAAATGATTTTTTAATTTAAAATTTTTAAGCAATTCCCGCTTACATTTGAATTACAGGCTCACGCCTGTAATCCTAGCTACTCAGGAGGCTGAGATCTGAGGATCTCGGTCCAAAGCCAGCCTGGGCAGGAAAGTCCATCAGACTCTTATCTCCAGTTAACCACCAGAAACCCAAAAGTGGCACTGTGGCTCAAGGAGTAGAGCATTCACCTTGAGCTGAAGAACACAGGGACAGTGCCCAAGCCCAGAGTTCAAGCACCATGACCAACCCAAAAAAAAAAAAATTAAGCAATTTCCAATGATACCATAAATTCAGCCTCTTTCAGCTTATTTTCTTATACTATTGCACATGGAAATATCACAATGAAGCCCTTTTGTATAGTTAATACATGCTAATAAAAAAGAGAAAGAGAAAAACATATTCTTACCATCAGGTAATGGCTTTAAAAAAACAAGCAACACTTTACTCATAGGAAAAATGTATTCCATGGTTTTTGTTCATTTGCATTTTTAAAAATCTCCATCAGGGTCTGTTCTTGTGCCTGATTATCTCACGTATTCTTTTTATGACCTTGTACCTCAATTCAAAGTAGTGGTGGGTTCCTACCTCAGTGAGTGCTGAGTTTGAGCCCCAGGTTGTGTAGCTTTTGATTGTTACTTCCTGGTTGCATAATCTTAGGTTGTTGAGTCCTAATTTTCTGTTTCTTGAAATGAAAAAATCAAAATAAATATGATCCTGTGTGTAAAGTACGCTAAAATACAATGGGCAGCAAATATTAGGCCCTCACTGAAAAAGATTTTTATGAACACTATTTACACTGTTTGTGTAAATATTACTCAAACAGGAAGCTGGACATGTACCTTTAGTCTATCTACCCTCAACCAGCTCTAGATACTGTAGATTTAAGTCATCAGATAGCCTTAAACTGTGTGTGCTCTGTGTGTGTGTGTGTGTGTGTGTGTGTGTGCGCGCGCGCGCGCATGTGCTGATTCTGGGGCTTGAATTCAGACTCTGAGCGCTGTACCTTAGTTGTTTCACTCAAGGCTGATGATCTTCCAGGTAAGTCATAGTTCCACTTTTGTGTGGTTTTTTTTCTTGCTTTTGTTTTGATTTAGTTTTGGTTTTGGTGGCCAATTAGAGATAAGAGTCTCACAGACTTTCCTGCCTGGGCCAGCTTCAAACTGTGATCCTCAGATCTTTGCCTCCTGCGTAGCTAGGATTTGAGGCATGAGCCATCGGCAGCCAGTTTATTACCTGAACATTTATATTACTGCATCAGCTACAAATTCCACAAAGCCACAATTTGTAAGGTCTAATGAATTTTACAACATAAACAGGATTGTCTGGCGATGAAATTGTTGAAGCAAAGTGTCTGAGTGGACAGTCCTGGTGACTTACTACCTGATCGCAGGCAGACAGGCATAAATTAAAGAGCAAAGAAGAAAAGAGCAGCCTGGGAGAGCATGAGTGTAGCAGCAGCCCCTGAAGAAAGCAGGCAGCAAACCTGCCACGCTTTCACTTTCATTTGCTCCAGGCATACAAAGGAGTCTGAGAAAGCAGACTTAAATAAGTAATAGATGGATGATGACAAACTCTTGCCAAAAAAATCTATGCTCAGAAGCCCTGGGCTCCTTCGAGGTGGACAGAAAGCTCTGACTACTCTGACTACTCTTTTAGTCCCTTTCCTCTCTAGACCCCCACAGCCCAAGGATAAGAATCTTCTCAAGCTTTCCCAGCTCTTCTGCCCTTCTTACCTGCCCAACTCCAGCTCCTCTCCTCTGCAGCCATTGGTTCAGTGGCGATGAGTTCTTGAAGACTGTGCCCAGCAGGAAATGGCTTGTTGCTGAGCTGACTGGGTGGAGCGAAAGAAAGAAGTGGAGGAAGGGAAAAGCAAAGGGCAAGCCACAGATGGGGCTCACCCTCAACAGACACACCGTGTGTGTGTGTGTGTGTGTGTGTGTGTGTGTGTGTGTGTGTGTGTGTGCATGAGTACACGCGCCAGTCCTGTAGCTTAAACTCAGGGTCTGGGCTCAGTCCATGATTTTTTGTGCTCAATGCTAGTGCTCTACCCCTTGAGCCAGAGCTCCACTTTGGCTTTTTGTTTTTGTTGCTGTTGTTGTTGAGTAGTTTATTGGAGGTAAGAGTCTCATGGACTTTCCTACCTAAGCTGGGTTCAAACTGCAATCCTTAGATCTCCTGAGTAGCTAGGGTTACAGGTATGAGCTCCAGCAGACACTTTTAAACAAATCCCTGGCCTGTCCCTTTCTTCTGATGTCTGATTGAGTGTCAAGGATCATGCTGACCAGCTTTGCGCCTCTCAACTTGTCATTCACAACCCCTGGATCTTTTCTCTGTTGTTGAAAAAATATAAAAAAATGCAAAATAAACACTTAACCCAATATCTATGTGATTCATTTTAATCATGGGCCACTATGTTGCCAGTGACTGTCGCTTGGGATACCGTGGTTTGCCTGCACACACAGAGTTCTGCGTGGAGTTTATCCTAGTGGCAAGAAATGGATCATAATCAGCAGGGAGAATAAAACCTACCACAGAATAGGTTTTCGAGTTATGATGTAGACTCTGTCCCCACTCCAACCACCCAGTGCCCAGTACATCACACTGCTTCTCACACTTGTGTCTTTGTATGTGTTGTGTTATATGCAAATACATAATAATAGTAATAAGAACATAATTATTAGGTTAAGGATAGCAGACATTCACAGAGCTCTTCAATGAATTCTAGGAACTGCTAAGGATATTTTACAGGAATTAACTCAAATACTCTAATCTTCTTTACAGATAAGGAAACCAAAGCATAAAGAGGTTAACTACTTGCTCTATTCTGGAGTTTTGGGCTCTTATCACTGAACAACACAGAAGAGACACCTGACTTCCATTCTCATTGCAGCCAGACAATGAACAAAAGAAGCACACCGTGTAGTATATTTTACAGTGGAAATGTACAGGGAATAGTAGAATAAAAAGGATCAAAAATGGCAGGACAGGGACTGCAATTTTCCACAGGGGAGTTGGGAAGGCCTTATTCAGAAGGTGACATCTGAGCAAAGATGAGGAAAATGCAGAAACACGGTGTACGAATGCCTGGACAAGTGCCTAGTCGCTAAGACAGGAACACTCCTGGTGTGACCAAGGAGGAGTCTGGAGGCCAGTGAGGAGAGAGGTTTCCAATGGCTTAGGGAACTAATGTTCCCTAATAGGACTTCACCTTCTACTCATCCAGATGACCAGGGTGCAACCAAGGAGTAAAATTATTACCTGGTGGCTGATTCTCTGGGTCTGACTGCTTGTTCCAGCTGACTGTCTGAGTCTCAAGGTCCTCCTGAGCTGGCCTGACCATCAGCAACAATCCCTTACCATAAAGTTCCCAATGACAGCCCGCTGACTATACAGTTCTGTCTATGCCCTCTGTCTTGATGGAGTCAGCCTGCCAGTCTCTCTGGCATTAAACTCCCCCCTACCAACCCTCCCTCAGACATGTGTGTATGCTTTATCCAGTGGAGACATCTAACAAATATGATCTGCATTCTATTTTTAGAGGATCATTTTCAATGCTGTGTTAAAAAGACTTGAATTAAAGGTAGAACTGGGAAGTCAATAAGGAGGCATTAATCTGAGTTGAAATTGAGGCTGACTCCGTATTTGAGTCCTTGTGTAATGAACTACAGCTGCACTGAGTACACTAACTGTGACAAATAGCTGTGCGTCAGCCAATCAGAGCAGCGAAGCTTCAGTGAACTATGGGAAGCCAACTGATAGGCCAAGCTGCAACCAATTGAAAGGTCTTGAAATCTCATTTCTACTTTCTCTCCATACATGCTGCCCAACCTGGAATTCTCCAAACTTGTTCTATCTGACCCACAAGTCATTCTTTGATCACATAAAGTCTACTGAGTGTAATTTGTCTTAAGTTTTCCTTTTGACAGAGGGCAAATAACCCAGCTGAGATCCAATGCCAGCTTAGAGCTGAGGTAGCAGTAGATATCAATTTGTCCCAAAGAGAAGAGATGGTAAAGAGTCTTGTAAAGCCAGTCTTTCTTGTCATGATGACACATGTGTATTTCAGCCCAGTGAGTAGGGACACACCTGCAGTGAAACACCAGAAAGAACTCAGCCCCAGATCCACAGTGTATCTTAAGAAGAGAAACAGCTGGGGCTGGGAAGGTGGCTCAGTGGTAGAGCACTTGCCTTGCATGCATGAGGCCCTGGGTTCGATTCCTCAGCACCACATAACCAAAAAGAAAAAAGCCAGAAGTGGCGCTGTGACTCGTGTGGTAGAGCGCTAGCCTTGAGCTGAAGAGCTGAGGGACAGCGCCCAGGCCCAGAGTTCAGGCCCCATGACCGGCCCCCCCCCCAAAAAAAAAAGAAAAAAAAAAGAAGAGAAACATCTGACGGCATGGAACAGCAGACTTGTCCCAGGATTTGGTCTGCTAAGTGATTTGGAGCTCAAGGAAACAGGGATTTGTTCTAAGTTGGGTGCTGTTAGGAGCCATTTTAGGATTGAGACTGTAATTATTATCATCCTGGGATCTGGGGAAAAAAAACAAAGTGGAGCTAGAGTTATCTACTCTCAGGAGCCAGAAGAGGCACCATTCAGTTATTTTTCTGGTGATACAGAAGCTACCTGTTTAATGGTCAGTTCCATTAAGAAGTGGCCTTAGTTGTTTTTTTTTTTTCTACCATGGTTATGGGTGACCTAACCTAATTATTCATGCATGGAGGTGTTTGTGTTCAATGGGAAGAGCACATACATACGGCCTCTCTGAATGTAGCTGCCAGTTGCCAGGGCCATTTTTCTCATTTTTTGCTTGTTTTCTCTCCTCTCATATTAGAGTGAAGTTATAGTTCCAAAGATGGTGACTTTATATGTTGAAAACTAAGCACTAATTAAAAAGAAAAAACACTAGACTGACTGGATCTAGTCTGGAAAATCAACTATCATTTCCTTCACCCTGATGTCCCCCTTCCAGTCCTTAAGACTGGATCCCATAGGTACAGAACCTTAGCAGACAGGCTAGCATGCCTGCTCTGGTACATTTTTATGACTTTAAAACCTCATTTATATAAAAAAAAAGGTTTGAGTCCATGTATAATCAAAAGCACAAGTATAATAAAACCTTAAATTATCAAAACAAGAACAAGATATGCAATGAGGAAACTAGCTACCATGTTTCAATGGGAAATTCTGGGTCAAGATCAAATCAAAGACTGTAAAAATTCATGTCCCATAAATGAAAGATATCAATGTAGAAGTTCAAAATCTGGCTTGAGATGACAAGTTACAGTTGCACAAGTATCACACAAGTGTGCACAGAGGGAAGGTACCTAGCGCTAGTTGTCCCACCTGAGAAAGAAAAAAACCACGTGTGATAGGATGTGAAAACATGGAGGAAGGCTAGGCAATGGGAATGAGTGGAAGGAACTGTGATTGCCCCCGGACCATCCCGAACCAGGGCAACCATCCTGCCCCCGAGAATGGCATATTCTCAACAGTAATGGGTCCTGGCAAAAGGAGAGATCATTCACAACATGACCCCAGCTACTAAGATGGGCTCAGATGTCCAGACTCTAGAGGGAAGGAATAAACCAACAAAAGCAAAAGACAGCAGGGACCCAAAATGGGTGGGAATCTTAGACTGGGAGCATTGGGAGGTTAAACAAGGCCAAGACAGAACTGGAAGGCCATCTCTCGCCTGTCTTCAGTGCCTCCGTTCCCAAGATGTTGAAATTGAGAAGAATCCTCAATCATTCCTTCCTTTAACCAAAAAGACCCTCCAGACTGACTCTGAGCTTGGTAATGACCTGCATTTAGTTTATCAATAACCTTCTTTGGGGATCTCATGAGAAGAAAATAGAATCAAGTTGAATCAAATAGAAAACCAGTTATATGAGAACAGTCCAAAAGTTTGTTATGCATAATAGCTAACTGATGTAGCTACCCTGCTAGCTCCATTGAGACAATTTGCTTCAACTTTCCAGGCCTTTGTTTCTGTATTTGTAAAGTGGGGAATGACAATAATAGTAGTCACCTTATAGGAATTTTATGAGGATTATAGAAATTAATATGTGAACTATTTAGAACAGAACTTGTTGCATTCAAGTAGCTACTATTTTTTTAAGCGTTTATGTTGGGGCCCTATGATAAATCCTCTTCATAAATTTGCTGATTTGGTCATCACAAAGCTCTTTGAATCCCAAACTATGAGACTCTTAGAAATTAAGTAGTGTGTTGAAGATTACTCAGCTAATAAACAGCAAGTGTGGAGTTGAAGTCACAGTTGCATAGCTCTGAGCCTGCTGCATATTTCTGGTGTCGTGCTGTCCACGATGCTTCCCCTGGGAGCTGTTAAGATGGAATGAGCTAAAATGATTATACTCCCAGCACAGAACAATCCCTTAAGTGGAAACTAATTACAAGCACAAGTTATTCCATACTTTCTCACTTTCCTCAAAATCTGAATTACGTCATTATCCAAGCCTGAAAAAAAAGCCAGAACTGAAGATAGGCCTCAAGTAGTAGAATAAAAAAGCCAAGGACCTGCGCTGAGACCCTAGAACTGGCAAACAACAGCAACAAACAATGAAAGCAAAAAGCAAAACCTACTATCTAGTACTTCCATCCCTTACCCTGATCACACCTTAGTTACGAAAGAAAGGAAGAAGGAAGGAAGGAAGGAAGGAAGGAAGGAAGGAAGGAAGGAAGGAAGGAAGGAAGGAGGGAAGGAAGGAAGGAGGGAAGGAAGGAAGGAAAGGAGGGAAAAGAATTCACCCAGTACTTGTAGGGGAAAATCCTCGTTTCCATATCTTGAAGTTCATTCTGCTTAGCATCATTTCATATGGAGCGACCATAAGTTAACTTGAGATGAGCACTTAAAAAGGTTCTGAGACCTTTTCTTTTTAGCTAAGCAAGAACTTCCATTTTAAAGTTAATTTTAGCTCTGTGGACTAAAGAAATCTCGGTATGATAGCAACTATATTGATAATTCTAATTTCATGTTAACAGAAAAGCTACAGTACAAACAAAGTCTAGCCCTTAGATGTAATTCCAAAGGAAGAAGCCAGACTAAGATGTTAGAAATTAAGTGGTGCCTAAGAAAAAGCTGCCATTTCAAAGCATGTCCACAGGGAGGCAGCAGAGAGTGAGAGATAAACTGGCCTTCCACAACTGTGGAAGCAGCACCTGGTACTTGGAAGCAAACAGCACCAGCTGACCGGTGTTTGAGTGATTTTCATGTCTCCTATGACTAGCTTGCTTAATACCTCCCACCATTCATTTCCTCCTCTGAAATTCTAGAATGCTCTATTCATCAAACTATGGTACTGAATCCATTGTTCTAAAAAGAAAATTTGATGTGGAATTTATTTTAAAAAACACAATAAACTGTAGTAACTAATGCCTTCTGTGCACAGGCTCTGTACTAAGACTAGGTAATAACAATAGCTAATATGCATGGAGCCTCCACAGTGCACCAAACGCTTTGCTTTGCTTCAATATGCTCTGGAAGGGGTGCATTCTGAGTAGACTCATTTTGTACCTCGTCTTATCTAACTTCCTAAGGTGAGTGGACCCAGGATGCAGCAGATTTGTATCCTTACAAACCTTCTCCCAAATTTTTTTTTTTTTTTTTGCCGATTGTGGGGCCTGAACTCTGGGCCTGGGCACTGTCCCTCAGCTCTTCAGCTAAAGGCTAGTGCTCTACCACTTGAGCCACAGCACCACTGCTGGCTTTTTCTGCTTATGTGGTGCTGAGGAATCGAACCCAGGGCCTCATGCATGCAAGGCAAGCACTCTACCACTGAGCCACCTTCCCAGCCCTTCTCTCAAATTCTTTTAGGAGCAATTCAACCTTCACATGCCCTTGGCCTGTGGAAAAGATACCACGGCTTTATGTACTTCATCTCAGACATGAACTTATAAAACAATAGTAACTCCTCAAATTTAAATGGAAGTCATAAAAGCTGTAGTTTGTTTTGAAAGTAGAGCCTTTGAGAAGTAACTGGATCACCAGGGCTCTAGCTGCATCAATAGGCTAATCTATTGACAGGTTCATAGTTTGCTACACTATTTGAAGGTGATGGAATCTTAGGTGCACAACTGTAATCTTAGCTGCTCAGGAGACGGAGGTCTGAGAGTCTCTGTTCAAAGCCAGCCTTGGCAGAAAAGTCTGTAAAATTCTTCAATTTATTTTTATTTTTTGCCTGTCATGGGGCTTGAACTCAAGGCCTGGGCACTGCCCCTGAGCTCTTTTGCTCAAGGCTAGTGCTTTACCACGTTGAGCCACAGCATGGTTAATTGGAGGTAAGAGTCTCATGGACTTTCCAGCCCTGGCTGGCTTTGAACTGTGCTCCTCAGATCTCAGCCTCCTGAGGAGATAGGACTACAGGTGTGAACCATCAGCACCCAGCAGTTCAGGAGACTTTTATCTTCAATTAACCAGCAAAAAGCTGGAAGCAGAGCTGTGATTCAAAGGGTAGAACACTAGCCCTGAGCAAAACAAAGATCAGGGACAGCACTCAGACCCTGAGTTCAAGCCCCAGGAACAGCATGGAGAGAGAGGGAAAGAGAGAGGGGGGGGAGAGAGGAGGGGGAAGAAGAGAAAGGGAGAGAGAGAGGGAGGGAGGGAGAGAGGAAGAGAGAGGGAGGGAAGGAGAGAGAAAAAAGAGAAACCACCTAGAACAAGAGGCCTGGTCCTTGGAGATATGCCCTTGTCCTAGGCCAACACAGTCAAGTACCCACACCAAGACCACTGAATCTGAACCCAAATTCTAAGTTGATTTTCTCCCATACTTTGTCACAGCGATGGAAAGCTGACTAATGCCTAACCCATCAGGTCTAGGCAGGTGTCTGAGCGGTACCCACCAGACCACAGTGTGCTACAGGCAGGGACGGGAATGGCCTGTGTGAGTGCCAGATGGGCAAAGTAAAGAAACAGGTTGGGCAGTAATGGCAGTCCGTTCAATACAGCGTGATTGCCCTCCGCTAAGGGAGTTACCTGTCTCCTTCCCTCTGGCTCAGCCTGCTACAGGTGAACAGAGTGCTACCACATGTATCTGCACCCACATGACGGGGCTCTCCCACTTACCCTACAGACCCCCAGAGGCCAGCACCTACCACAGTCCCCCAGGACCCCTCCTCTCTCTTCACCACACGGTCCTTAGCGAATAAGCTTGCATTCGGCTTTATTTATTTTGTAAGAATATAACATGCTGAAACAGGAACATGGGGATTGCATACATCATTCATATCAAGGAATCCAGCTCCCTTTGTCAACAATAAATAACTATTTAAACAGTGAGGAGTTCCGGACATTCCTCAGTGGTTCCTAATACATGCAGAGGTAGAGTCTGGTGGAGAAAGGGGCAGGCAGGCAGCAACTCCTGCTGAAATTCTCCAGTAGAGGCGTAATAAATAATACCAGCAACAGAAGGAACAACAAATAAAAGAATTTTGACAATCAACACAATACCAATAGTACTTAAATAATTTCCTCCTGGAGCAGCTCAAGTGCAGAGAGAACAGTGGTATCCTGGACATCCAGCCCCCTCCTCCCCCGGGCAAGGGGTATGGGCTGCCTGGCAAACTCATCTCCCTCTCCTGGGCTCCTGGGCTCAGTACAGGAAGTCCCGGCACACAAGGTTTGTTCAGTGAGGCCCTGAGGTGACAGGTAGAATCTAACTTCCTCCCAGATGCTACTCTTCCCAGCGGCTCTGCTCTCCAATTTCACTCCCAATTTCTATCTTCTGTCCCAGGGCCAGCATGGTCTCCGGTCCCTGTTACTCCCAACCCTCTAGTGTTCCTGGGGAAAGAAACACAAGCATTCCTTCTACCCTGAGCGTCTCTCTTTTTCCTTGATTCCAGTCAGACTTCTGGGCTTTGCCAAGAGATTTGTTTCTTAGGACCCTTCTCTCCCTCATTCCACACAGCTTGAAATGAGAAATGGACTGGCCATGGAAGGCCTGCCCCGTCCCTTCTCCACACCCCACCTTCCAGGGCAGGGAATAACTCAGGGAGGCCCTTCAATGGACTCTGATTTAAGTGGATTCAGCTGCAAACACAGAGTGAGGAGCTAGCTGTCAGAGGCCACCCTAAAGCACCCAAACTGGGGTCCCAGGAGCAATCGTTTCTCTTTCAGAACTCGCTCCTGACCTGGAGAGGCACTCAGGCCAGCTTTTGAGGTATCAAAATCTCATTCTGGGCAAGAAATCACATTGACTCGCTGACCTTGAGACTTTGAAGATGGGTACAGTACAGTGTTAAGAAGCTCAGGGACCCTGGAGTGCCCTGGGCCAGGTGAGCAGGGGACAACACGAAGGTTCTCTACCCACAGTTCCTTCGGGGCCCTATCTGGGAATTAGGAAAAGAAGATTCGCTCAAAGTCAACGGATGTCCAGGCAAACATTGGATCAGGTCGTCTTCCTCGCTCTTCATTTCCCACCTTGGAATGCTTCCTCACCCCTGGGAAGAGTCAGTGCTTAGCTGTGCGCCCCATTCTTTTCCCCAGAGAGCCCCACGTTGGCCACTGTGGTCAGCCCTTGTCCACAGGCAGCGGCAGCCCTTGTCCACAGTGTCTGGAGGAGGGGGGTGGATGAGCTCGCTTTGTCCAGGCTGCTGGGAAACCTTGCCCTGCACTGTCCCCCTGCACTTGCAGGGCAGAGCCTGCCTTCCATGCAGGGGCAGCCGCCTCGGGGAAGGGTGACCCCACCTCGCTTTCAGCTGGCTGGTTCACTGCCGAGAGGCTCATGTGTGTGAGGGTTCGGCTGGGCTGCAGCTGGATGTGGAGGTGGTGGCGGCAGCTGTGGCTTGCGCAGCCAAGTCTTGGTAAGCAGATGACTTCAGGAAGCGCGGGTAAGAGTCCTTCTCCATCAGCGTGCGCGTCTTGCCTTGGGCCACATCAAAACAGGTGACTGTGACCGCTTGCAGATTTGTTCTGGTCAGCTCCCGGGTCTCGTGGTCTATGTTCACCTGTGGGTAGGGGAGCAAACACACGGTGAGTGGGCTGTCTTTGAGGTCAAGTGGCAGGCAGGGCTGTGGACAGAGCATCAGACTCTGAATCGAGTCACTAAGCAGCTGTTCAGCTCGGGGCCTGTTCCCACATCAGCTCTCGTGGCTGGCCCCCAGCCTCTCAGAATCAGTGAGAGGCTTTCAAAAGCCCACTTGGTCTGATAGCACTTCTGTTGTCTTCCCGTGCAATTGTTGGGCCTGCATGGGGTCCTTTGCCTGAACTCACTCCTGCTTTTGCTCCATGTTCTATGTAGGCCTGCTTGCCGTTCTGGGGCTTCAAGGGGCCTTTACATTGGCAGTCTCCTGTACTAGAGCATTCCTCAATTCTTTTAGCTCTCTGTTTATGTTACCTTACCAGCTATCCCTCTATTCACTCCACTCCATAACTCTGGCACTGTCTCTCACTGCTGCTTTATCTGTATCAGAGCATAAATCTGATAAGACTTATATTTAATTGGTTATTAACCTCTTCTCCCACTAGAAGATATGTTCCATTAAGGAACATACCCCCTGAGACTATAACAATGTCTTGTGCATAATTGGTGCTTACCAAATTTTTATGGGCACCATAGAATAAAAGATGTTAAATAAAATATAAAATAAGATGCAAAAGTGAGGCAGGACCCTGATCTCTCCACCAGGTGGCTCCACGTTCTTTATCAGATGAAGCCACCAGGCAGAGCAACAGCCATACACTGCAAGGTCCAGCATTCAGGGACTGAGCCAGGTTGCGCAAGGTCCCTGTCATGACTTTATTTCCCCAGTTGGCAAGTCTCTTAAAAGAATTGATCTTCCAAGGTGCATACAGAGAAGCCATAACCGCCTGACAAACCATCCTGCCCTATGCGAAGTCGGAGGGTGACAGACAGCATCAAGCAGCACAGACCCTAGTCTTTGGCCATACAAGCCCACTGCCCCGTGACAAAAAGGTCAGACTGCGTCAAAACCTAGCCCCTCACCTCCTGGCCCCAGCTATCCATGATTTTCAGTGGGGCGGGGGCAGCTGTGTGTGATGGAGATTGTGTTTAGATACTGACCTCTTTAGGGGCTTCGCTGCGAATGAACTCATCAAAGATGCGCTGAGCCCTGGAGCTCAGCTTGGCTGCGGATCGGATCTTCTTGAACTCCTCACAGGCCAGCCAGAACTCGAGGTTCTCCTCACTGAACTCTGTCTTCAGGAAAGCGTGGAAGGCAGCCACTCCATCTGGGGTTGAGAGGAGAGAGGAGGAGACAGGTCAGACTGGGGAACAGCAGGAATAGAGAAAGAAAAGACAGCAATTGTAGTTAATGGCTCTATTTTTAGAATGTAATTTTCCTGAACAAGGGCCTGTCTTTGTATTTTGAATAGAGGCTGGCACACTAGGGGATCCATATTCTTCTTCTTACTACTATTATTTTCCTCATGTTTTCAATACCGCTCGGACAGACTCCAGAGCACATGAGTGCACACGTGCTACCCACAGACAGACACAACAGGATCCGACTTACTTTTACTGCTCAGCAACAAGTCGAAGGACTCTTTCCATCCCAACACATCTTCTGAGAAGCTTCTGCTAGAGAAAGAACACACAAGATTTTAAAATCTAAACAAGTAAACATAACAAAAAAAAATCCTAGTGAGAACTGCTAGGAAGATGTATAATTCACACAAAGGCTTGCTCAGGAATTGTCAGAACTAGCTCCTCAAACTCAGCTGGAGTCAGGGTGTTCAACCAGGAACCAAAGCCAGGGAGCTTGGAATCCTCAGTATCCCTAAGGCTGCTTCCTCTCTGTCCAAAACTACTTTGATTCCCAGGACTCTCAAAGCTTAGGGGTTTTGTTTGTTTGGGGGTATTTTTTTATCTCTTCCAAGGAAATAAAGATCTCAGAGAGATTATATTTCCCCAGAGCCTAACATAGAATCTTTAATAAAGGGCTTCTAGGCAAGGGGTGGTCATGTAAGTAGAGTCATTAGCAACTATGCCAACTGGTCTTGGACCCTGGTTACAGGGTTGGTTACAGGAGCAGTACCGCATCCCAGGTGGGACAGTCTAATGACTGGACATTGCCTGCTGGTGGACTTGAGACCTGGATCAACCTACCAGTTTACCCCTGAACCCCGCAGCCACAGCAGGCCACCAAGTCCTGCTGAACTCTCCAGGGAGGGGTTGCTCAGGTCCACTGTAGCACATCCTAATTTCTCCTTGTATCTTACTCCCCAGGTTCACAGGCAGGTGGGCTTGATGGCAGGACTTACCTTTCTTTGCTGTGTTTACTGCTCCAGTCGAACTTGCCCAGACTCCCTGAGTCAGAGCCCAGCTCTGATTTGTGAAGGAAGATCCCCAGACGTGTCTTGAACTCTTTGGCTCTGGAAGACAAATAAATCAGGAATGTGAAAAAGGATTGTCAGCTCAGGGAGGTCGGTGGAAACCCAGAAGAACTCTAGCACCTAAATGTCAGCTTCAAGAGCTCAAGGGAACACTCGGCTGTTCCCAGGGTTCCGCCTATGCCCTTTCTCATGAGGGCCATCACCCCCAAAGCAACCAGAGCAATGTCTGGGCTTGCCTCCATGTGCGTATCTGGGTTTATGGAACTACAGAAATAAGCTTTTCCCTATGAAAAGTCACCACTCTGTCCCTCTGCCTGTTGATGAACCAAAAAGCAGCTCAACACATCCAGGCTTGTTGGGTACTTCTGGAACTGTATGGACATTGATTCCTGCATTTCTCTTTACCTTTTCCTTCTCAGCTACCAGCTCCACGAACGCAGGAAGCTGATGAATAGCTAGGAAGTTTGCATATTTCTCTCCCATGAGACAGTGCCTTCCCCAGGGGCAAAGGAGACCATGCTCCCAGTCCTGAGCTGTGGGATGAAAGGCAAGGGCCCAGGAAATTGAGGCAGCCTCGGCTCTGCTTGGAGGTGCCAGTGTGGTTAGGTTTCCCATTGTTTTCCCTTCTTCCCGATCCTGGCATCGACTTGCCAACTCAAGTCCCCACCGCAGCACTCCGCGGCCCAGCCAGGTCCCTGCGAGTTGGATGGGGCTGGGCCGCTTTCCTAGGGGACAGCTGGACACGTCCGTCTTACCTCTCCAGGCAGGTGGTGGGGAAGGCAGCCAGGGTGCGGCACATACTGGCGGGCGAGGGGCAATACGTCTTGGACGGGAAGCTGGAGGGCTCCAGAGGGTCCCCGAGCGCAAGGCCGAGCGCAGCGAGCGCCAACACGCGCAGGTTGAGCTCAACTGTCTGCACGCGCAGGGCAGGCCCAGGTCCCAGGCTTTTCTAGGATCGGGGGTGGGCGTGGCCAGAAGGCGATGGCCAATCAGAGAGCGGGGCTTGGCTCCGCGAGGGCGGAGATGAGCCCGCCCGCTGGGGAGCAGCCGGCCCACGGGGCACCCACGGAGGGTCTGCCCCGCACCCCCCATCCCTCCGCCCCGGCGCCCCCACTCCGTCCCGCCGTCCCTGGAGGACGTGGGAAGCCAGAAACCGCGGAGAGGCGCGAGGATGAGTAGCGCACACAGACAGCCGAGGGAGGTCGCGGGGTTGTGCGGGGGGTCGCAGGGAAGCCCGGGCCTAGCTGGGCCCCGAAGGGCAGGCGCAGAGGGTGCGGCCTGGGCGACCACGCACCTGGGCGCACTGGGGACTCGACTGAGCTGCGCCCGGGCCGGCAGGGGGTGAGGCGCGAAGGGAGTTCTTCACAGAGGACAACAACAACAACAAAGCGAGAGCTGATCTTAGCCGACCTCAGAGTTGGGAATGGCAGATAGATGGGAAGGGGCCACTTTATGGAACAGCTTCTCGGTTTCAGACCCCTTAACAGACTGTGAAATCCCCTTGCTCAAAGTGTTGGTGCCAGAATTCAGATGTGACTATACCAGACTTTTCCTATTGCTCTCCCCCCTCCCCCCAAAATACCACCAGTTCTGTAGCTTAGTTAAGAATTTTCCCCAGGATACAGACCAAATTGGAGACGGACACCCGTGCAGGAGGTTTGCTGGGGCAAAGTTCTCAGAACTGTGATAGAGCAAAGGCAGCAGAGCCTAGAAAGGGAAAAGCGGATGCCTTCGGCAGAGGCCCCAGATCACCTGGACCCTGCTGCTTCTCCGCAGTTCACCCTGCCTTTACATCCCAGATAAGCTACAGCTGGCCTGAGCTTAAGCAAGACAGCTCCTTGGGCCAAGAGAAACTCCCAGAGAGAGCCTGCAGCAGACCCCGGGCTGGGAAACCGTGGCCACAGTCCTGAGGAGGGGCTCTGGGGTACAGAAGGTGTTTAAACCAGGGCTCAGCTTGCAGTCAGCCTTCAAGATTTTCTTAACTGAAACTCTGGAGTTCAGAACAATAAAATAAAATAGTATTTTTGGAATACAGATTTTTTAAAAAAAATTTCACAACAGGCATTATTCATAACAGAATTATGATTTCTCAGGAAGGCCTGTTCTGTGTTTCTGAAAGTAAAAGGTCAGAAAAGAGAGAAAGGTGGGGCACTAGTGGCACCTACCTGTAACCCTAGTTACTCAGGAAGCTACCATCTGAGGGTTGTGGTTTGAAGCTAGCCCAGACAGGAAAGTCCATGAGGCACAATTCTCTCCAATTAATCACACACACACACACACACACACACACACACACACAAACAGCTGGAAGTGGAGCTGTGGCTGTCATTGAGCACAAAAGCTCAGGGACTGCACCAAAGAACTCAGTTCAAGACCAGCACAAAAAAAGAGAGAGAGAGAAAGAAAGGAAGAGAGGAGAAGAGGGCCCTACTTGAGAGCTCATTGAGAAGGCAGAAAAAAAGGTAGTAGAAGAATGAAAAGAAAAAAAAACAGAGGGGGAGAAGAAATGGAGAGAGGCTTTGAGCTAGTGTTTCAGGCTTCTGGGGTAACAGGCAAAAATCAGAACACTGTGGGGTATGATTTCTACAAGTAGATTCTCTCACTGAGTGAGGGCTGGTAGAGGATGGCCCAGTTAGTCAAAGAATGTGCTCTGAAAAGGCAGACAGGCCTTCTCTAACTTCCCATTGCTTAGTGGAGAACAGAGGCAGGCAGGACCACAGCCCTTACAATCAAATCTTGCCAACCTCAGCTCTGGTTCTTCCTTCCTCTGAACAGGTGTGGGGCAGTGGTGTGCAGCCAGGCAGTTAGACCTCTTCAGTTCTGCCGTCCTTCATCCACTCAGCCCATCAGCAGGAGTTTTGCTGAGCAGAGGTGGTCAGCTGAGGTAAGCACTTGATATTACTCATGCCCCTAGGCATGATTTTATTATGCAGCTGCCAAGAGAAGAGGTGGGTGTTTGTCTACAAGACAGGTGTTCTCTGTGCAACAAAAAGGAGCTTATAGGTGGACTAAACCCATAGTCTTGCCCTCAGGAGTACCATTTATGAATTAACCTGGACATGGTCACATTGCAACAACAATGATTAGGCAGCGAATCCTCCTCCCTGAGGAGGCCAGAGGAGGTTTTGTCATTTCTGTTTTAGACAATAAAACAGCAGTGTCCATAGTTAGTGCCTTTGTGAAGGAGAGTGAAACTGGAAACAGCCCAAATGGGAAAGGGGGGCATCTGCCCTTGTCTGAACTGGTACTTGCTCCTATTCCACAAAGAACGCAGAGACAAAGGGATCTTAATGCACAGAGAGAGCACAGACGGGCAAATCTGAGAGCATAGAGCTCCCTGCTGAAGATGAAGAGCCCTGTCTGAGTTCAACCTGCCTCCCAGTTGCCATGGTTACCTCTGCAGTTTCCAGGAGAAACTTTTTTGAAGTTGACAATGTATCCCAAATTCTCTTCCCAGCAGGTTGTTTCGTAGCTGCAATTTCTGTAATGTGGATGACTCGGCGGTTGCTGTAAATCCAGTCAGTTGAACTCACTTGTGAATTGCACTGGCTTTCACAAAACCTGACCTCCTTTTTGCTCAGCATGTCCAGCGAACCTGCCATCTTTTTAATGGAGGGTGTGAGGACACAGTTTGTAGCATGAATTGTCTGGGATAAGAAATCTGGACAGAGATGGGGTCAGAATTAAACATCCCTGATATTCTAACCACATTGTCTTTTTTTCAACTTCTTTATTGTGAATAAGTGATTACATAATTTCCCAAATTTCACAGTACTGTGGGATAGCGATGCTTAGTTAAAATCACAAACACATTCTACCTTTCATGAGGCAAATTGTCTATCATGATCTATAACATTTATGAATTCTATGAGCTTTGCCATACAGTTATTTCTTCCACCTTGGGTGATATGTACAATTCTTTTGTTTTGCATAGCATCAGCAATTCCCTCTTTCCCATTTGTTCCCTCCCTCCCATCGCTGCCATTGAGTTGCTTAGTTCATTTTGATCAATGTCCAATGCAGCTGATGGGTCCCGCTGTTATGTTTTCCCCTGATTCCCTCTAGTTCTGTGTCATCCTCCTGGTTTCCCTCCAGTGTGCACATATATACCATATATGTGATCAGCAGCCTGAGGTTATTCAGTAGTGATTCAACCAAATGAGTGCAAGTCCTTTGTTTCTTAAGTCTTGTTAATTTTGTCATATCACCTAACATTTTGGATTTAACATCCACTTATCAGGGAGACCATGGATGGAGCTAGAAGAAATCATGTTGAGTGAGGTAAGCCAAGAGCAAAGAGACATAGAGATCCCTCCCATGTTGTCTTTTTTGCCTAGAATTGTTTTGGCTATTCTAGGTCTTTTGTTGTTCCATATGTACTTTTGGACTGTTTTCTGTATTTCATTGGGATTTGAATAGGAATTACGTTGAATTTATATATTAATTTTGGCAGTATTGCCATTTTCACTATATTAAGTCTGCCTATCCAAGAGCATGGAAGGTCTTTCCATTTCCTGGTGTCTTCTGTAATTTCTTTCTTTAAGTTTTTATAGTTTTGTTAAATAGTTCTTTTACGTATTTGGCTAGGTTAATTCCTAAATATTTTATTTGGGGGGTATTGTGAATGGGGTTACTTCCTTTATTTCCCTCTCTGCTTATACATTGTCAGTGTACAGGAAGGCGACTGATTTTTGTGGGTTGATATTGTATCTTACTACTTTGCCCAAGTGATTTATAATTTCTAAGAGTTTGGGGATGGAGTTTTTGGGATCATGAAGGTATAGTATCATGTCATCTGCAAAAAGGGATAGTTTAACTTCTTACCCTATGCGGATCCCTTTAATGTTTTTTTTCTTGTCTTATTGCCCTGGCTAAGGGTTCCAGGACTATATTGAAGAGTAATGGAGACAGTGGACATCCTTGCCTTGTTTCTGATTTTAGGAGAATTGGTTGTAGTTTTTCCCCCACATTGTCTTTTATTTCCATCAAGTCCTGTCCACAACACCGTTCTTGCTACAGCAGTAGAAGCCTACATAAAATAATGTGGTAGTACATGCCTGCAATCTCAGGAGATTGAGACAAGAGGATCCTTGTCTCAAATACATCCATCCATCCATTTATACATGCATACATTCATACATACATATATACATTCATACATTCATACATACATTCATACATACATACAATCATACATTTATACATACATACATGGGGGAGGGAGACAAAAATATCTTCTCACTGTCTGATTCTACTCACAGTGACCAGGATCTCCCAAATTCAATCATCCATCTACCAAATTCATTAAGAATATTCTCAAGTCAGAAAGACTCTTCCCAGACCTTTTTTTTGTGTGAAAATACCACACAGAGGGGTTACAATTACATGAACAAGGTCATGAGTACATTTCTCATCAAGCATTGTTGCCTCCTCCTTTGTTTCCTCTTCCCATCCTTTCCCATCCCCCAACCCCCCATGCCAATCTTCCCAGACTTTTAAGGATCTTATAATCCAGGGAATGCAACTACAGAGCAGAGCAAAGTAACAGGAACCACTGTCTGTCACTGAACCAACTGATCAGAGAAGATGGGAAGTATTATAAAAGTGAGGGGGTTAGGGGGCCCCAGGAGGGAATGAGACTTGGGTACATGATGGAAAGTGGGAGAAGCAGTTAGAAAAAGGCCATTGTCGTTTGAGGGCAGAGTACTGGAAGTTTAGAAAGAATTCCTTAGATACTGGAATTGCTGCATAGGCCTGTGGGACACAAGGCCGCTGTGGATTTTAGAGCAGGAAAACTGCATTGGCCACATGTGTGCTGATGAGAAAACAGCAATCACCCCCTAGAAAACAGGAACTTGTTCCTGGGAATATTTTCCCTTCCAAGTCATGGCATATACATTAGGTA